TACTTTCTCCTGAATAGCATTCAGTAATAAACGATATTCCATTTCATCTAGAAAACCTAAAAAAGTACCACAGTTTGTAGTACTAACAAACTATATTCAAAACCGTGAACATCAACATGGAAGACTACAAATATGCAATCGTAATAATCGATTTTGTTTTAGTTGCCAATATGTTTCTCGTATTTGCTGATAACAATTGGGGTAAAGTTCATATATTACTTAATTTGATAAATGCGAAAGTTCAGTTGGATGTTGGATGAACGGAACTCGACATTCGGCATCAACAGCGGATCTAGCGGGGGCGGTCATGGGGGTCATGACCCCCCTTTGAGCTGGTTGGTGAAGAGCTTAACAAAACATATTTACATATTTTGTCAAGCTCTTGACTTGACCACGACTATGTGACCTCCCCCTCCTCTGACGCCAAAGCTAGATCCGCCCTTCTTTGGCATAGACGTAGATCATTTGGAAGAACACATAGTCTTCTTACTTTTTTACTTCTACGCGGTTAACGTTGCTAGCGAAAGCTAAAAATAAGGTATTTTTCAAACCTTCTTCTTTCAACTGCAGAGTATCTAGGATCATAATATTTAAAGTAGAAGTAGTCGCTTGTCTCGTCTTCACAGTGATAGCAGTCCAAGGTCTATCGCGTTGTAGAAGACCCAACTGACGAGTCACTGTTAATCTGTTTTAAGTTATATTAAGATTACTAGCAATATTATCTCTATTTTCTCTAGAGTAAGACACAGAGAGAATAATGTAGATTTGATTGTTCCGGACTAGCTGTTGTATTATAAAACAGATTAAAAAAATCACAAACAGGAAATTCTTTTGTCAGAGAGTCTTATAGATAGAAAATACTCGCACCTGTCAGCTTCCAGTCTACTGTCAAGTTTCTCTTGTATTTGTAAATTATCCACTAATTGAGGCAGTAACGAACAAACTTCTTGTTCTGCGGTCACAAAGCCCTAGAAACAAGAGAGATGGATTGCGTGAAAGGTGACAAGGTTAAGATGGCGGATTTTTTTTTATAACATATTTTTTTTACAACAATTTTTATATACGACGGAGGAGGAGACGTATATAAAGAGGATATTTCCCCTTCCTATGCATCTCTTTCACCGTCAAATCCACTTCTCCTTTCCAACCTCTCCTTATAAGAAAAGGTGGTAAAGAGAAAAGGACTTAAATTAGGCCTCCGGCACCACACTCATCAGACGAAATACGGAATTGCTTCCATTTGACGGCTGTCTTCTGTGTGGTCGTGGTATTACACCGGGCGTGCCGGCCCTGCAGTGCTAACATGTTAAAGCGGGCATTACCACTGTTTAAAATTGATTAACCTGAAGGACAAACTGACCTTCCTGAAGTAGGATATCGATAGGGAGATGATATGATCATCCCGTTTTTTTTAATTAGCTCAGTTTTTAATAGCATTAGCACTTACCTTACCAACATCATACCCGAATGCAAGTTGTATGTCTATCATCCTATCGATATAGGCCATTATCTTAGGAACTGATACCCTGGAGAATCAAAGGAAGTCGATAAAAATACTTAACATTCAATTTGTTAAAGGATTTATAGCTGTGGATGAGATCTAGAGACGTAGGGTTCCTTCCAGGACATAATGCGGATGTCAGGAAGCCGCTAAATGCGGAGGACCCGCCTACTTTGGAAATTATTGACGATGGCACCAGCTAGACTGATATTAGTCTCTTTCCTTTCCCACCATTTTCTTATAAGGAAAGGAATGGGAAGGGAAGGATGGGAGTGGATTTGACGGTGGAGGAGACGTATAAGAAGGGGATATACTCTTTAGAGGCGTCTCTTTCTCCGTTGATTAAGGGAAAAAAAGATAAGGAAAACTCTCTAAATCTAAATTTCCGGATTGCCAATATGAAACATTATTTTGCTCTCTATAGATAGTTAGAAAAACAAACAAATTCAAGTGTATTAATATAAAAAGCACATTACCTAGCCAACTTGCAAAGTCGCAGAAAACGCAATGTTCTTAGTAATTTAGTGGCAGTTAGTACGCTGGAGTTTAGATTAGACCATTTATTCCACGATGTCAACGTGTCCAGTACGTCCAGTACTAGGTCTAAAATTAAGAACAAATTTTCAAACCACTTTTTACCGACATAAAAAATCAAATTATCTGTTTGTGTCTTAAGAATTTCACTCCTAGTGGACCGATTTGGATGAATCTTTTATTATTTGATAACTCGTAATTGTCTTGATGTTCTATATTTTTTTAAATCTAACTTGCACATACTTTTTATTTAATCATACTAATATTATAAATGCGAAAGTTTAGATGGATGGATGTTTGTTAAGAGTTTGTAGTCTAAACGGTTGAACGGATTTCGTTAAAATTTGGCATAGATGTAGGAACCTAAAACGTAGGAACGTAGGAACGAAAAAGGATGTGAAAGAAGAACACATAGGCTACTTGCATTTTTTTTTAATTCCGCGCGGAAGTAGTCGCGGGCGAAAGCTATTCCTCAATAAGGTACATAACACCACAATGTAACCTTTACGTAGTGTAAACTACAAAAGGTACCTACATATGTGTTATTGCCAACACGTCAATTTCTCTACTTTAATAACAATAATCTTACCCCCTGTAGCCATAACAATAATGAGGAAATCCAACTTATTCCAGTGAGACTTAAAATAACCGTGCACGCCCAACGCCATCATTTTTATTATCATCTCTAATACGTATATTATGTAGAAAAATCTGGAAAACGCATTAATTTTTATGGAATTATTTTTATGGAATAATGGTCACTTGTGGAAATTTTCCTATACCTACACTTGTGTTAACTAAACAAGGGTAGGAAGACTCAAATTCCGTTAAGGGCCTGCGCACACCTTTGACTAAACTATCGCACAACGGTTTTATCTCCCTTTGATTCCTACAAGTTTATAAGGACGTACACACACTACTCGATTTTCAGTTCTGCAACTAAACAATTGAATGTTGAAACAATCGACGCGTTAAGTCAAAGATGTGCGGCCAGTCTAAATATATCTTCATTTTATATTATACTAGCTGTTCCCATGCGGCTTCATCCGCATGAAATTACAAAATTTTATTTTTTTGTTTACATTTGTCAAATTACAAATGTCAAAATGACATGACATGATGATAACCTTGCTTCCTTGATGTTGGCAGCAACTTATGGTCTCTTTGCCACATTAGGGTTTTTATCCAAAATGTTTACCCCCTAAGTTTAATGGCAAAATATATAGCCTAAAGCGTGACGTAAGTGTAGGGCTTTTTATTAAAAAAAGAGTTATTCAAAAATATGCTGTAATTGCTGGCATCTTAGGCAACAAAGAAATGTGTGTTTACGCTTCATTATAATAGTATAGATATAGATCATTCCTTTAACTTTGCTCACCTATCAATTAAATTTAAAGTACAATAAAAATAGGACAATAACTTACAAATTCAAAGATTTGATGACATAAATGACGCTTCTTGAGGGCGCTCGCAGCGCCACCTCGCACAGTATAATTGGCGTGTTGCACAATATCATTACATAGATGAAGCCATCAAACCATACACTGGAGACCATACGGTAAGCGAGCTGACGCCAGCGGTTGTGTGGCATCTGCACTGTAGCCGCTTCTGGTGTCATCATCTTGATCAACTTACGACGTAGCCATACCGCATGCGCCTAGTTTATAAAGAGATTTGCCATACCGATGGTACGGAATCGCAATAGTATACTTTGTAAGGAACATATTACTAGGGACCGTTTGACATACGGGCGGTATGGTGTGGCACTTAGAGTCACGTGGTAATGCCTGGTCCACACTTGGCCAGTACAATTGGATAGGGCTTAATAACTGGACTGGCATGGAATGGCAACTAGCGTGTACACCAATAGGCGCTATTGTCCATACAAATTATACCTGGTCTTCGCTACTGTCGAACTGTACTGGCCAAGTGTGTACCAGGCATAAACCTATTATAAGGGTCTCCCTTACTGACTTAGAGTCTGAGCGCGGTTGTAAGTCGTAAACGTTATTACTTTAGGTTTCCACAATGTGCCAAGCAGGTCTAGATTAACCCTGCCATCATCAGAGTCCGCGGCAACCTCCACAGCCTGCACTAGTGTCCGTACCCCGTCTTTACTTATTTTCCCATGTTCATACTGTCTCCAGTAAGATATTTTCATAGCCTTTAGTACACGCTGATTTGCTTCCCTACAATATTATGCAAACCTTTTTAGAAACATTAATTGTAATGGATTGGTTAAATGAGTAACATACTTAGAAGCGATATAAGGGCGGACATAGATTGACTGTTACGAGGTGGTTAGCGTATGGCTGTCAGC